ATTTAATTAAATAAAAATTAATTAAATAAAAAATTATAGGAAATATATTAAAATAGCTTTCTAAAGTTAAAAGCTACGTCCGGTCTTAGTCATAGAAGATTGCGGTCACGTTTTGATCCATTTTCTGCCAAGTAACACGTACTTTCTTTTTCATGCCGAGAAATGAGTTAGTTGCGTTCACGCGCAGCGTACATCCGGTCGCGCCTAATAATATCCGGATCCCTTTACTCTTCTCGGGGATTTTCTCTTTTTCCTGTTTCTCAGAAGTCACGACGGTTTGTCATAATTTTCAGCCGGTCAACTGCATCCTGAAATAAACTATTTCATCAGTAGCTATATAATTCCCAAACAATCAATGTACTTGCGTTAAAATAGTTAGACAAATCAATAAACTGTCGTATTTATTCAATGATCATATAATTATGATCATTACTGATTATATTAATTCATTTCATTCATATTAGCAATTTAATTACTAAACAAATATATTATTATTATATATCCAATATCAATAGCAAATTTATTTGAAACAGATACAATCATCATAGTCAATTTAGAAATAAGTAGCAATTGATAAAAATTCGAACATAAAATATTTGTTTGAAAGTTATACGAATGTTAAAGTTATACGAATTGTTTTAATTTATTTTTTAATAATGAAATACTTAATTTGTTTGCGCAATTTTCAGTGCCTGCACATGACAGAGAATGTGTCTTATAAATCTGGATGCTTAAAAGAAGCTTATATGCTATTAAAATCGTATGTTCAGACTGCCTCTATTTCAACGCTTGTCATATTTCCACTTTTGGTAAATCAAAATTTATTATTTTCTTGCTTTCGTGGTATATTTGCTTGCCTTCTCATTTAATAAAAAAGAAAAAGAAAAACTATTCACATTTCAGTTAATCAGCGTGCTTTTAGCGTTTGATTTACGAAAAAGACTGAAGACAAGTCAATTAATAACGGACGAAGCGATATATTTATGAAGACATCGAGGGTGAACGTGATTTAGAAGTGAATGACAAGTCCGGTGAAACGTTTTCCCGTTTTTTATTATCATATATAGATCATATATTTTCTGAAAACACTTAATATATTGTACTTAAGATAGTAATATTGTAAGTTTATTGGACATGCTGGTTGGATCGCCGTCTGCTGTGTAGCAGTGGTTCAAGTGGAAAAGTCCGTAAATTATTCACTTCCGGCGCTTCTACGATGATCATCGAATCAGGATGTGTTTTCAATACGCGGGGGAGAAGGGGAAGGCGAAAAAATACATTTATAAAAATTACTCGTGACCATCGTAATGTTCTCGTTTACGTAAAGGTTCAAATGGTAGAGGGAGAGAGAGGAATGTTTAATCGAATGGCGGGGAGGGATGAGTCTTCCTTTTTTTCTTCTTTTCCTATGATAAAATAGAGCGTCTTACGTGAAATCGATTGCCTGTCGATGCGAAATATTGACGTAGTGATAATTTAACGCGCGCGATGCATCTGTCTTTTTCTCTCCATTAATCTTCTCGTCTAAATTATCGCTAAACGGCTGCGACAGTCGACACCGCGTTTATGTATAGCGTGTGTGCGTGTGTGCTGTGTCCATGTGTTACGCTTTATATATATATATATATATCCTGTACTCGTGTATGGGATGTGTACGGATTCTATAATCGTGGAAATGGGGGCGGGGAGGACAGAGAGCTTCGGGCGCAGTTTCAGGCAGGTTCCCATCCAATTACAGATATATTATATCATAGCAAACATCGTGACTATTTACAATAAATACAGTTGATTAGGTTATATAAATAAAATATATATAATATCGTATCGTTAGGTTTAGGTTTACAGCAACACGTGACAGTAAACAATTAGATCAGCGGCAAAGTAGCGTTAATCTATCTAAGGTAGTGGTCGTAGTAGCTTTAGCGTGACTGACTCTTCCGTTCGCTTTTCGCGCTCGCTTAATCTTCAGTATCTCTCATTTTCACGCTCTCTTTCTTCCCTTCCTTCGTTTTCGCTCTACATTTATCACTCTTGCATCCTCAACTTCCCATTTCACGTTTTCTGGAATTTCTTTTACCTCCCCCTCCCTCCCCTTTTTTCGGCATGGAGTCGCGCTCGAGAACCAATCGCGCCGCAAATTCGTGGATCGACGGTTACTGCTATAATTGGCCACTCTAGCTCCTCTCGTGTGTACATATATATCTTTATATTTCTTCTCAATATATTCATATATATTTATATTTATTTATTTCACATAATCGTTATTTCTTCGCGCGTTCTACTTCGTTTCTTTTTATTTATTTATTTAGAGAAGTACGTGGAGTTGTCACGATCCCTCGCGGGCGGTCGCGAGGGATGAACGAATCTGGAACGAGTTCGCAAAAACGAGAGATGAAACTTCACGGAAGTTAGAGAATGAATTTTTTTTCTAATATTATAATCGCATAAGACGGGGTCGGGCCTCGAGTCGAGTTTTTGGGATCCCCGCCCGTGCGACATGTATATCGCGGCTACCTGGCCCGCTCATTAATTTGACACGTGATATTTAAAAAATAGTTGATTCTTCTTGAATGCACTGTTGACGGATCCAACAGCGGATAATGCGGTTAAAGATCAAGAGTGTAAGGGCAGTGTGAAGGGCAGTGGGAGGAGCAAGTGTGAAGGGGTTGGCTGGCCAAGGGAAAACGATGAGTGTTTAGATGTGCACGAATGTCGAAGCACTCCTATTTCGCTTATCTAGAGAAAGCAGAAGCCCTCAGAAGATTAACGGAAATCACCCTCAAATATTATATATCCTCACGAAATTATCACTACTGCTGAAAGACGGTAGCTGTCTCATTATTACAGTTATAATAACTGGATAGAATTATTCAATACAATCGAGGATTATATTATTATTGAATTTAAACATGATTTTAATGCGATTGTTTCTAAGAAATCGATTTAAAAATACAGTCACAGCAAATTTCGAGATTAATTAATTAATTAATAGATTTAAAAATTTTCGCTATTTTCACATATGAGTGCTTTCTAAAGGTGAAGTTAAAATAAAGCGAAATAGAATCGTGTCGATTATGCTTAGATAAGCGAGGGAGGAATGCGGCTCGACGATCGAGCCCGTTCGCGCGGCCGTCTGCAGAGAAACGCAATGATGAGCAACGCGCGGGGATAAGATATTCACGGCGCGATTTTAGTGAGTTCCGTTTTCGCGTGTCGTTTCGCGCGTGCGAACGAGGACCTGAAATGTACAAAAAGGATCGCCTTTGCGGCCTCGTTGGCACGTGCGAGCGCGTGTGCCTCCGACAGGAGGAGCTCGTCTTGGACCGCGGTTTAAAATTGCCCAGGCAACACGACACCGTAAAAGAAGCCGTAAAGATGACCTAATTTTTCACACATCGTTTGACTATCTCTCGGAAGTCTTTCACGATTTTGCGTTGTTGGGTGTTATAAGTCTAAACACTCGCTCGAGTTAAAAATACATTACGAAGCTTCCCTAAATCTCTCTCTCTCTCTCTCTGTTTCTCTTTTTCTCTCTCGTTCTCTCTCTCTCTCTCTCTCTCTCTCTCTCTCTCTCTCTATATATATATATATATATACTTTTTTATACACTCAGCATATAGATAACATTTTTTATTCTTCATCTATTCAGACAGCAATGTCGTTGTGCCACTAACTATCCATAAACGGCACCGTCTCTAAAGCCGCATTGCAAAATATTAATGGCGAGTATTCGTCGAGACGCGAACAAACAATACGTGCGACAAATCGACAGATTCGGAATCTTCATGAAATTTGGAAGATGAAGGGAAATGTGAGGAATGGGAGAAGGAGGAGGATCGATGGGATAATAATGAGAGGAATTTTCGACGCTAAGAATGGTTCGATGCACGTATATGGGTTTTTGTGCGCAGGCGATCGGCGCACACACACATATACATATGCACGCTCGCGCGCGCGCACGCACACACACACACACACACACACACACACACACACACACACACACAACACGCACGCGCACGCACACACACACACACAACACACGCACGCACGCGCGCACACACACACACACACACACACACACACACCACGGGCGAAACAATCGTTACTTGACGGGCAGTAATTTTGGATACACATACTTAGTATTTTCAATAAGGAAACATAGTTAACGTCCGTTACGTTCATATCCAGCAAGCACAAATATGCGATATTGTATATGTATTATTTTTACCGATAATGAGTTTATTCCTTTTGCAAATTTCCTCCGTTTCCGGTTTATACGCAGACATCGGCTCGCACGCCCGGCTCGCATTTCCCTCCGCGATCATTTCCGAGAATCATCGAAGGATACCCACCGTCGATCCCGAGCGACTCTTCCCGCACACTCGCGCGCACAACAATGCGATATTAGATCACCGATCGGCGACAATCGGGAACGCTTACGCTACGGATAGGACACATCCACATGTTAAAAATACGTTTAGTCTCGCTATTGGTATTCGACGACCTCATGCACGCTCATCCTCGCTCGATCATCGCTGATCATCGCATCCTCTCTTTTACTCTCTTCATTCTCTCGCCATACAAGAAAAGCACCACTTTATAATACAAATTCGTCTCGTCCTTAATTGTCTAAAGCCGCGAACGGAATTCAAGCTCGAGACCGCACGATCGAGTCCGCACGATCGTTGGCTCCTAGTCCTTCAAGGATATTGTGAGGATCGTCTCTCCTCCGATTCCTTTTCTTCACTTCTCGCCAAGGCCATTCATGATTGAGATTTATTTTCGCGCTCGCCGCCGCTTTCTGCATCGTATTCGTTATCGCACGAATACCGTACTTGCATTACACTCGCCGTTGCTTTTTTTCTAAGTACGACGAGTTAAAATATCGTGAGCAGAGCACACGTAGCTCGTCAACATCGTTGTTAACGGCATCGCTCCTCCTGATTCTCACTATCCTCGCATTTATCCTACGCCAAAGAAGGCTGCTATGTCAATGTAAAGCTATGTATTGACTAGTTTCTCTCACTCTCTCTCTTTTTCGTCACTCTCAACTATGAATGGCCTCTTCTCTCTTCTTTCTCCTCATTTTTCGCGTTATAACTATAATTACCTTGTATCGATACGGTGTACCGTGCACGATTCGCACGCGCGGCACCACGGTCTATCATTTACTTTAGGCCTCGAGCGCAAGCTCCACGAGCTTGCCGGCCTTGCCTCGTACGTAATCAGTAAACTTCACATCCTGGAATTTAATTCAAACCTGATTATTAGCTGCGTTCACGTCGCGTCGAACTCCCAGAGGAAAATTTCGCAATGTTCCTTCTCTTTCCTTTCCAAGCTCGCGTGGTCCGAAATCCGGCACACTTTCTTTTTTTTTATTCTCTCCTCTCCCGACGCTTATAAGGCTTTCGCGGATTTGCCAATCGCGGATCGGTCGCGCAGCTGGTCCGTGGAGCGAATACTCGGTGAAACCCACGTTTCTCCGCGTGCGCTTAACGCTCTTACACCCTACGTACCCTATACCTCGTGGTATATATATTTATTATATATAATATAACGTTATAATGTTTTTGGCATCTTTGAAATACACAAATAGACTTTGGTATAAAACTTTTTGATAGTTTTCAGTACGTTTATATATATATGCGCGTGCATACATATACGGACGCTGCGCTACAGCGACATTTTTTTACCTCCTTCCGTCGACTTTCACGTTTCCGGTATTTCTTTCTATCTCTTTACCTGTCGGTGTCGCTCACTCGAAAGTCCCGCGGCTTCGATACTGGACAATGTCCCCGTGTGAGGGGACGATACGACTGACTCTCAAATTGCTCTAGCACATTTTATCTAACCACCAGAGCTTACAGGACGGCGCGCCTCTCCTCCTGCGTCGTTTTTTGCTCGATTGGTCGACGGCCTTTTTCACGAACCTAATGTTGTAAGGATCCTCCGCGAGCTCGGGATACTGTTGCGCGTCATGTATGTACTCGCCTTCGTAATTAGATGCGAGGCCGACTTTCAGTATCTCATCCTGCTCGGCGACCATCCACTCGATAGATGTTGGAGTGTTCGTTTTAAGGGCTTCACGTTCCCGATGCCATGCTTTCCTAATAGCGGTCGCTTTAGCGTGATGCAGTAGTCTCTGCTTTTCCTTCTCCGCCGTGGTGCCGTATCGCAAGTTCACCACATAGCTGGCACCGTGTATTTTCACATCGATTAACGAACTACTGCCACTACCATTCTCGTTCTCGTGGAATGTAGTGTTTACTTGACCTCCTAATCGTTTCAGCTGACCACGATCCTCGCTGGCACGCCAGGTTTCCTCTTTGACAAAGTAGAAGGCGTCCTGCTGTGCGCTGTGCACGACAAATGTAAATGGCAAGAAGTACGAACGGTTGAATACGGATGTGAACACGTCGCCATAAATAGCGTTAGCGCTGGGTACGCTGGACACTACCGCCTGGCCATCAGCGGTTCTCGACACCAGGATACCTTTACCGAACGGCGGATCGGACGCCGCACCTAGACGACTGGGTATCAGCTCACTCGTGTCTTTCTTCAAAGCAGATCGTGGTGGCGCAGACAGGCTCACCGCGTCGCCTGAATGCCGTTGGGCGATGTGCGCAAGGAAACCGGATTGGACGCCTAGATTGCGCGTTCTTTTCTTTTTACCGAATATAGAAGTTCCCGGACCGAGTGCTCGCGGAACGAGGCTTTCCGGTAACTCATCCGGGAATAGCTGTGGCGCTAAACTCTTTAGGTCATATCCAAGATGCGATAGCCATGATATGTGATCTGTAAGATAAAAATACGCCGAATGTATATTGATTGAAATCGGATAGAATGTAAATTAATTCATCGATAATATTGTAGAACTTACCAGTTGGTTGACTTGGTCTGTCCGTGTGTCTGACGTCAATTGGATCGTTACCATTAAATCTATAAAGATGTAGATGCGTTGGTTTGTCTACGCGATCCAAAACGTTTTCCCAGAGCGGTGACATCCACTGGCCTATTAGCGGGTCATAAACCTTACCATTTGGCATGTGAACGAGGGAGGTGACCTATAAATAGATCATATCATTAAAATATGAAATATAGCAAAGAATGTTTTGAATATCATTGCGTTCAATTCCGAATGAAAATTTTATTAGTCTATATCAATGAATTTTTTTTTATTTTGTTAATTATTAAGTGGAATTAAATTTTTATTTACCTGATCCAGAAGTCCTCCGCAAAAGTCCACCGGCAAGTAAAGATATGGATTCGAATCGTAAACGATATGGCCGTAAGGCGATCGCATAATTTCTCTGATGCCTTCGCCATACTGATTGAAGATCATAATGGGTGTTCCACATTGATCAGTGGCAATGTAATATTTGTGCCGGTATACTTGTGCATAAATAAGATGTCCTCTGTCATCGTAGACCAGCGACATTAGTTTACCATCGCGCGGGCTGTATATCTGGCTCACTTCGTGCGGTCGTTTCTGGTTATTATAGAAGAACTGCGTGACATTGCCGTAATTATCTTTCCTTGTGGCTAGGCGATCCAGGTGATCGTAATAGTATCGCACATCGAAACGGCCGCGTTTGGTGGCACGCACAAGGAGACCCTTGGCATTGTAATTGAATCTCTCCTCTCTCGCATTCTGCACCACCAGACCTCGGTTGTCATACTTGTAGAGACCTTCGCCAAACTTGACTATTCGGTCCATGGCATTATACTCCATTGGAATCGTATTACCTCGATATGTGAGCGACAACATATTACCGTTGGCATCATATTTGAAACCCCATGGTTCCTGCGCTTCTACACCGGTTAACTGACCATCGCAGTCCCATGTGTAATTCTTTACATTGGTGTACGTATTAACGGCGACATTACGCGTATACGTTCTTGTCTGATTGATGCGACCGCGTGAATCGTGCGTAAACTCCATCCTGAACACTTCCATTCGATGAATTGTCACTGTGACTTGAGTTTCTAGGAATCGATCGTCTGTGGTGCGCGAGAATAATGCAGTACCGTCAAACACAGTCGTCTCGTTCGACTGCGGCCTTGTCACTTTAAACTGACCGATTTGCTCCAGCGTACCCGATCTCGGACTGTAAGCCATGGTGTGTGGTGGCAGCGTCTGACCGCCTATTCTACCCTGTACCGCAATCAGGCGGAAATTCGAATCGTATTCGAACGTAAATTTGGCGTTGCTCAGACCAGTCTTGGCGCCGAAGTCTATTCGCTCCTCTACCAGAAGTCCTGCACTATATTGATAATCCCATTTGTATTCCACGTCCCTCTCGGAGTGTATAACTTCGGAAGGTAGTCCACTCTCCGTGTATCTGATCTCGCTTTTGCCGTCACCATGAACGACCTCCGCCAATTGTCCCGAGGTATGATATCTGTAGACGATGCGAGCTCCGTCTCCCGGAAATACAGTTTGCAGCAGGTTCCCCTCGTGACTGTAGTGCTGCAGATAGGCTCTAGTGCTGCCAGGTGGAGTGTATGTCACCCTGAGAAAGCCGAGAGAAGCCTGACAGGAGAAGGAATGTTTGGTTTCAGACGGTAAAATGATATGTCGTAATCCACCGTCATCATCATATTGCAACGAGAACTGTCTGTTGCTGGCAAGCGTGATCTTTGACAGCATATTGAAGTCATTGTAGGTATATCGTTTTGTGCCGTCCTTGCTATTGGTAATTTCCGCCAGTTGACCGTGTCGATCGTAGGCATATGATTCATCGGAAGCACCCCATTTCCAACTGTCGATCCTGTTAAATCGATCGTAAGTAATGCTGAGATTATGACCCTGCTCATACGGTTGCCAGATCAAGGGTAAACCGGCCAGATCGAAGGTCACCGTCAATAGAGGAGTTCCCGCCTTGTCATAAAACGTCTCACGGCTGAATGCTTGTTCGAATTCGACGCTTATCACTCGCGTGTCGTTCACCCAGATCTCTCTGTTAAGCGTTTGCTGAGGGTGGCTAACTTCTCCGACCAAGTTGTACGTCGTCGTCATGGTGTTTGTTAATTCGCCCAATGACATCAATTGATAGCTCCACATAGGTAGCATCTCTGCTTCTACCGGCAAAGCCGGCTTCAATAGTGGATGTTTTGTTGTCGCCGCGCTAAGTACTCTACCACCACCAGGCAGAAGCACTTCCAAGCTGCTATTTGTAAATGCAATCGCTTTCATGAGTTTAGTGCCTGTAAATATTGAAATGAGATATATTAATAATATTCATGCAATTTTTTATCATATTTGCAAAAAAATTGGAATATATTTGTATGTCGAGGAAAATAGATTAAACAAAAATTAATTAAATTAGAGAAAGTACATACCGTCAGTGACTGTCAACATTTTCGATTTCTCATTTTTCATTTCAAATTCTACGATTCGCTGTTTATCGCCTTTAGATAAAGCTTGCAAGGGAGCAGACACTTTAACCAATAGACCTTCGTCGTTAGATAAGTCCGATAATAATTTCAATTTCTCGCCTGTCGGCAGTATTACATCGGTGACACGTCCTAGACTGTCGTAATTGTATATGTATGTTTCATCTCCCTGAAATTTTAATAACACATTGCGTTTCATCATCATCAATAAAAAATATATATAATTTATTCATAAAAAGTCTATTACATTTTTTATGTATGATTAAATAAAGAAGAAAAAATAAATATTTAATCAATGGATAAAATAGACAAAAACACCTATTCTTTATTTATAAAAATAAGCAATAAAAATGTCTAACTTACTCCTGATCGACTGGTGAGCAAGCCGGTTGAACCGTCATAACCAAGAGCAATCTCCGCCCTGCCACGTTCGGACAATTTCTCCAGGAATCCAACCGCGGAGATTTTCAATTCGGATTTATGATCCTGAGTGTTCTCAATAGAGCTAACGACGCTGCTGTAATCTCGCAGGAATTGAATCTTATTGCCCGCGCTGTCCGTCACTGTGGACAATTTGCCGAAACTCGTGTTTTTGCTATACAGGAAGGAGTAGCGGGTCTTTCCAGATGTCAAGTCCTTCGTAGAAATGTGTTGACCGTAGCGATTGAACACGTAGATCTCGTTTGAAGGTGGGAATGGGATGCGGAATTCCCCGTTCTCATCGTGGTTTGGAAGGTATGGCTGCAGAGCCAAGATATGAAGGCTGCCCTGATCAGCTACGTGCAAGACACCGTCTGGTGAAACTGCCAAAGCAGATATTGCAGTAAACTTGGCATTTGAAGAGAGGAGCGTTTCGGTGCTGCTAGTATCATCTGTGCAGGTGCACGTGTCCAAGTCCTTAGTGCTGGGTGTAGTATTGTTGCATTCACATTGACCGCGCAGTCTTTCTTGCTGTTGACCTGCGAAGTGTGACATCTTGCCGGAGGAATCGACGATTCTAATAGAGTTCACTCGATGAGAATCACGATCCGCTATGTATAGCTCGCCGGTTGGACTGAAACCGACAGCCAACACCGATCCGAGGACCTCGTCTGATTTTTTCAAATTCGTCGTCAACGAGGAGTTTAGTTTCGGAAGTTCATCGTTGCCATTGTTGTTATTTGCATTGCTGGTACAGTGAAGAGGCGTGCCAGCGACTACACGCACCTTCAGATCGCTGGTGAGTTTCAAGACTAGCCTGTCGTCGATGAAATGCAAGGATCCATCCAATGGGCTTAGGGTTAATCCGGTGGGCCATTGTAACTGAGCTTGATGTGCGGGAATGGCTCCGATGCAGGGAGCGGGTGACCAATGATTATGATGACCATGATGTCCCACGAGAGTATGTATGATTCCTCGAGGATCGACAGCACGAATATTCGTTCCATCAGCAATGTACATCGTTTTATCGGCTGCAATTGCAATTCCTGTAAATCATAACAAGAAACACATTTTTTAAATTATTTTTTAGTAATTCTTTAATCTTTTGGAAACATGAGTTTTCTCATAAAAAAAAATTAAAGAAAATCTTATTATCTAGAAGTTATCAAGATAACTGAATTCAATTTTGATCTAAAATTAGATAAAAAGGAATAATTTGATTATTATGAAACTCGATTTTAAAAGATTCTTGTTATCTGAGTTAGAATGTAGTTTAAAAATGTCAAATTCTAAAAGAATAGTATTCTGCAATAAAGGAGGTCTAGTGTCATAAGACTCGTACTCAAGATTTGAAAATCAGATTGGAAATCATACTAACTGTGCATAGCACTGATGAACTTCAAATAAAATGAAACTAAAAATTTGATGTTACTCTTTGCAATTACAAATTTCTTAAAAGAGTTTATGCAGATTATTTCTTTAAATTCTGTTCACTATTTCTAATTTTTTATTTTTGTTTCCGAAATTCGAATAAATTATAGCTTAAATTTCTTTATAGACTACAATCTGAAAATAAAAGAGAGTGATCCAAATGGAATTATTCATTTATAAAATATTAATTCTCAAAATGTTCCGTATGTATATGCTCGTCACTTTATAAAAGTTTTTTAAATTATTCAATGTTTTTCTAATAGCGCAAGTGTCTTTCAAAGAAAATGACAGATGTATTTTAAGTTGTCCTTCACCTTTAGGATGAGCCAATTTTGCATGGATGGCCGGACCTTCATCGCCACAGTGGCCCTCGTCACCTGGGATACATCTTTCACCGCTTCCAACAACGGGCTCGATATTAATGCTTGGATCTTGGACTTGTTCCAACGAAAGTGCTTTCAATATCTGATGTTTCTCTGGATCGCTGATATACAAGTGTCCATCAGCCGGCGAGATGCACAAATAATACTGATATGCCACTTGAGTCGCACTGCAAAAGATGGCATAAAGATGTGTTAGATTAGATATTTATGATCATTAAATTTTCGACTCGCAAATCTTGTAAAAAAAAAGTTTACCTCAAAATAAGAACGGTGTAAACCTTTCCTTCGGGCGTGATTCTGCGCACGAGATTGAAATCTCCGACATATATGCTACCGTCAGGTCCACTGGCGAGTGCCACTGGTGTCAGGAGTCTAGCATCCTTAGCGAGACCGTCGCAATTCTGACACACCAAACTTCTTTGGAGACCAGTGCCCATTACCACTTTCACAGTGCGCGGATACTGTTTGAAATGTAGAGTAGAGCCATCGCCTTTCTGCAGGATCCCTTCGTGGAAGTTGTAATGGTGATGGATGTCGAGTCCCCATCCACCGATATCGGAGATATCGACGTCGAATCCCTGCAAAGTGGCCGTCTGCGTCTCCCATATCACCGACGGACAAGTGGAATGTTGATAACCGATCGAGATCCTCGCCTGCGCCACGCCGTACACCTTCTGCTTGTAAACGTTTCTCTTGTTCCAGGCAAACGTGTGTGTCAGATTTGGGTCGGCCTCGTACGTTTTCGTGTGAAGTGAGCCCTCGATCTCTACATGCACGTGTACGTGCGTCAGCGATTTCGGAATGAACGGCCCGGTCAGTTGCATCCTCACGGTAGAGAGATAGCCTGCAGCCTGACTGCTTTGATACATCAAGTGGAGATTGGAGCCCGGAATAGCGATGCTTTCCTGCACGATCTGCAAGCGATGTTTAACGTTGCGTTAATGCGGTCACATAGTACTGTAATCTCCATCGTAAATATTGTTACATTCGTGCAATGTCTTTTGATGCTCCCCTTCGAAAGCATCTCTGTCTCACGTAATATATAATAATGAAATTCGTTATTTACCGTATAAAATTATTTAACTTTTATTTTAAAATCCTATGTCTCTTTCTATCCTTGCCATTCAGGCGTATTAATATCGATCATCAAGAATAATAATTATGTCATTTAAAAATTTCATTCTAACTACGATAAAGTCAAGACTGTATTTTAATTAAAGCAACGAGCGTATTGTAATGATATTAAATCGTTTATGAAATAGAAACTTACTTGACTTTCAGCAAAGACCAAGCTCTTCCCAGGCAAACCGCCAACTTTCTCAGGCATCCACGTGCTAACGATAATTGGTCGCAGCGTCTCGTGATCGTGCTCCAAGCACGGACCGTGTTCGCTAAAGAGTCCCATTGAAATCCCTGGGAAGCCTATTATATTGTACTCCGTAAATAATAAGAAACTCAAAAATGTATAACACTCAAGGACGGAACAAAGACGGCACATACGTTGAACAACTCTGAAAACGAGGGTCCTATGAAGACCGCACGTGTAATGTGCGATCTGATCCGACATAGTCGTGAAAAGCAGTAATAAATTACTTACACCAATTTTTTTTAACAGAACTTTTGCAAATAATAAAAAAATGTGCATTCGCTACTTTTGTTATCTCTTCTTTTCTCTGCGCGCCGGGATTGGTTTCAGGTGATCGAGCACGTACGCGCGTTTATCGAAACGTTTGTGACGTTAATGGGTAACGCGATCCGACACGTAACACGATGAGATATATGTGTACCAGGACCGACCAAAAAAAAAAAAACATAGAAAAAAAGATAAAAAAGGAAAAAAAGTCCGTAATACATCCGAAGCTCGATGCTTACCAACTGCCGGGCTCGGCGGCTGGTTAGATTTATACGATTCGCCTTCCTTGCTAAGAATCATCACAACGGGTGGCAGGACCACGATTTGATTCCAGGGTACGAAGACGGTCCTCGTAAGGGGTTTGAAGGGGCTGCGCTGGAATTGAAGCGTTACGGCACCTCCACCATTGACCAGGACGTCGAACCTGATCAAAGTACGTAATGCATTTCGAACTCCATTGCCAGTATTACGTAAGAATCCCGACGTAGGTCGATCAAGATAGTGCGCTCACTTTATCCGGGAATGAATGTCTGAGGAGACTTTAGAATTGGATCGCGAAGTGTCTTGAAAGTTTCTTCGTCATATTTGATTAATTTTCTAAATGTATTATTAATTGGCAAAATTTTAAAACATTTTCTTGTACAAAACATTTACCTTGCAGCAAATAATGAAAATATTTCTGTTGAAAATGATACATCTTTTTATTTTGTTTTTCAGAAACAAAGTTGTGTATGAAACTTTCAATGAGATATAAATAATTACTAAAAGAACAATAATAACCTTTTTCCAAGTATTAACAAGATATGTAATTTTAAAACTTGTTTGAAGGATTATTATGATTATAGTCCTATTTATTGACGTGAACAATGAATGAAGTAGATTTTTATTTATACGTGCTTTGTAATTTCTTCCTTTCAGCCTGTTCGTTATTTAAGTTTGTATCTAGGTTCAAAAGTACGCTATGGAATTTAATGAAGTAATATCCCTTCTCATATAAAATTACTGGCTTCTCTGAAAGTTGGAGCGTGGAAACAAAAACTGCAGAACATATTTTTAAAATTTACAGGATTTATAAAAGCACTGTAATATTGAATTTTATTTATAGTTAGATTTAAAGTTCCCATTGAACTATTTAGAAAATAATTTTCATACATTTGTATAATACACGTTTATAGAGGCAAATTTTTCTGAGACAAAATAAAATATTCTACGAAACTAGTTTTCTTTTATATATACTAAAATAATTTTTGTATTTTACTTTTCTGCAACATTTCGCGTATTAAAAATTTGATTATGCAAAAATTCGCAAAATGTGAAATCAGATTACGTTAATACATGATAAAATTATTGCGCGCCGAAAAATTCATCTAAGTTATAATGCGCTGTAATGATATTATAATTGAAGGCGCGTCAATGAATGGAATAATACGTGCTTGCTTGTTATTTTGCATTTATGAACACATTAATTACGAGTAGGCGCGGTGTTCCGGTCGTTGAATTAATATGAATTAAATCGAAAGAGAATGCCAGTGAAACAAAGTTTCGTAACGAGTAGATTCGGTCAATATATGCGAATGCATTTCGACGATCTGCGATGCACCGAGAACCGTGGACCGAGCCGTAGTACCGTAGGTTTGCACGGAGTAATTAGTAAGCTTTCGACATCATTAGCTCGGGCTTTGATGCGGTCTAGTATCCCAACTCCTCCGCTTTCCTGTTTCAGAATTATTCTCGCCAGGATTGCTGTATACCCTCGCCTGATGTAGCCGTTCCCGACTACATCCCTCTATCCCTCCCTCTTTCATTACAATGCAGCCTTGATACTATCGCGCAGGACATCCAGCTCCGACCCTACATGTCGTGCTCATCGTATGTGCAAATGCTAATACAACGATGATGACGGCTATATGTGTGTGTGTGTGTGTGTGTGTGTGCGCGCGCGTGTGCGCGTGCGTGCGTGCGTGCGTGCGTGCGTGTATGTGTGTGTGTGTGTGTGTGTGTATGTGTTGACCGCCGTTATAACTGTAAATGGATATAACAACGAGCGTAACTCTTTCCATGAATCCCTTTCTATCGCCGGTAATATATTATCCGCGATAGCACCGACCCACTTATTTCACACACAACACTCAAGAATAATCAACAATTAGCAGATACAGATTAGAGATATTACGGCTCTTAAATGTTCTCAGAGCGCGATGATAATGCATATATAATAATCTGGATTATGCCCGTGGTATCCGTCATTTATGTTATGGATGTCTGTCATTAATCGTGCAAATCCCTCTTTCAAAATAATATTATGCCACAGTAATAACTACATCGGCTTAAAATACGAACAGCATAATTGCCTCTACGTGTGTAGTAGTGAAATATTAATATGAATTACTATCCATTACCATATCTATTAGGGACAAACCAGAATGCACGTTTAAAATCATTTGTATCATTTATATGCATTCATGAAATTATTTCAATTCAGGTATTTCGTCTTTTTAGGCTAAAAATCTATCCAAAAATAAAGTCTTAATTGGCTTAATATTTGGATACGCACTATGATAATCGACCTTTATCTTTTTTTAAATATATCAATGTCAAATCTTAAAAATCATTATTAGACATATTATTTAAGACTATTTTAATGATAATATTTCAGATAAAGGTTTGCAAAATAAATTTGCCATTGGCGTCTCTAAGTATTTTATTATTTCATCTTTAAAGTAAATTTTATTATTTTAATTTAGAAAAACTAATAACTTTAACATACACTGTTAGAGAGAATCCTAATCTCTTGAGTTAAATAACATCTTGTTAGTTTTAACTTTTACATGTATGAAAATGTAAACCAATCCATTCTGTGATTAAATTACTTAGTTTTAAAGTAAACAACATCTATATTAATGTACTGAATAAATAATAATTTGTATCAAATTTAACACATTTTTTTAGTTAAATTAATTGATTATTGAGTTAAAACAGTAAAAAAAATAGAAATGATTAAAAATTCAAATTAGATATAATTTGATATGAATTTAACAGTGTATAATAATCGAAATCGATGCGAAACTGGATAATATAGAATACGTGGATTATTGATTCTTACCATCCGTCTGTTCTAGTCAAGGTGAATCCAAAGCGCGAGTCCCTGTCCACGGACACTCTGATGCCTACTATTCCGAGTCCTTGTTCGGTAACAACTTGGCCTCGCATCACCGCAACTCGACTGTTACAAATTACAGATATATCGAGGTCCACCGAAGTGGGATCGTTTCGTCGACCCATTAATCCGCGCAATGCTGATTTAAAACGAAGCATTCTCACAATTTACATCTATCTACGATCGGAATGCAATTTTGATCGATGCTCGCGTTGAAGCGAAGATAGGTAAAATTTTGTAAAAAAAAATCGTGAATTTTCACGGCGTTCCGTTCGCAACATTGTTCGTAACTTAAATACAAATATATTGGAAATACATTTCAAAAAATGTCTAACCACAATACTATCATAGAATTGTACGTTAATCTTTAATTTTGAAATTATTGCCGTGCTTCAACAATTTTCGATTTAATTATTTTCGCAATTATTAATATACTTTACACTTTTATAAGAATGATTCCGAAGCTATACGGTCGAATTATATCGATTTAATTTTCTACGATCTCACCGCGAACAACGGCGGCACACTATTAATACCCACTTAGTGCCCGCCTAATTAACGAGTAATGCGATCGTACTACTCGGTCGATGCACGACCAGTGTCTTTACGCGAGCGCGGACATGAGCAATCGATTTCGCCTGTTAAATCAGCTTCCGCGGTCAACGGTTCAATGCGATCCAATATTCTCACTTCGCTGCCAATACAATCCGCAACTCCATTCGGCCGACATTCGACGGCCGCGTTGCCACGTACAAGGGAAGCTAATGCCTCTGGCTGAATCGAGGAGCGATACAAATTGATTTTACAAATAGAACAATGCCGCGTAGGCGAGGGGATGGCGGAACGGGTAAGGGGGAGAGTGGAGAGGGTTGCGAGGTTGGACGGCGGGGGCAGCGGAACACGCGCAGTGCGTCGACGATGCATTGTGCTCGCGAAAATCAGCATTCGCGGTGATGGCGATGGCAGCGAGGCGGGAACATTCTTCTCGGCACTGACTTTTAGGATTTTCAGAGATCAGAAAAAAGGGAGAAAAAGAAGATGAAAAAAAAAGAAGACATAATACTCCGTCCCGAAGCGAATGGATGAGGGTTGAGACGGGGAGGGAGGAGGGGGAGGAAAATTCATAGGAAAATTATCTCGTGAGAGAGTAAAAGGCATGCAGTCATGTTATATACGTAGTAGGCGTGAGATATGTAATATGTAATATAATAATAGACGTATCATATGAACTTTTCATGGACGGAATTGAGGGATCGAGAGAAATGGATGTATGAGACCAGGGAGACTGGACTCTCGGCGAGAGAAAGTTGAAATGTTCTGAAGCTGAATATTTTAAGCGATTCGTGTAGTGCTGAATATAATGAGGTCGATGTATATAGGTACGTAGATAATATATATATATAATGTATATAAGAGATATATGCGACAGGTTCGCATGTGTGTGTATATAACTTGTTACACCACCCGTTGGGCGACCGAGTAACGAATGTAACGCGGCACGTGCGACATGAGCTACGGTCGCTCCTCCGCGCCGTGTAACAAGCTATATACCCATTTATATGCATTCGGTATGTAGATATATATAGATATATATATTTATCAGTCTCTAAGGGATTGCGTATGGGGGGCATATTCGTTCTTGGAGGATCACGCGTCCCCAACGCTCCGCGCAACATCGATGGTCACGTTACATAACATAAGACCATTGACCGTTTCCGTTAATTGCCGTAATCGTAATTATCGAGTAAATTTCATGGATGCTCAGGGATCGAAACCGGGATTATTTTGACGAGATCAATTCTTGCGAGTTAGATAAAAGTGCGCCGGATATATCGACGCTTTTGTTAATTTCTTATAAATCGCTAAAGAATCGATATTTTGTCCAAACTAGTAACAGTCTTATTTTTTAAATAAAAAAAAATCAAGAAAGATTCTTTGTATAATATAATAATATTCACAATTACTTATAGCAGGTATGGTTTTATTTAAGATATTGAACGCGAACTAGTAATATAAGATAAGTAATAATAATAATCAGATATATATACTTTAACAATACTCGATTATTTTCATGTAAAATAAAAATGCATGTGTTCATTTTCGCAAGAATGAAGTAATTGAATTTTACAAAAAGTACTTAAATTTTCAAATTGTAAAAATTATTCACTGTTTTCCTTGATAGTTCGTCTACATTCTATATTCTTCGCCAATCGCTTTTCTGTCATCGCGAAAATGCATGCAGATTTTCGCATGTATGAAGAAACGAAATGCAATATCACTGTCAGACAATGCTATCGGTTTCGATCACTGATCGTGCCTTCGTTTCGAGTGGCTTGGAGATCAAACTATGCCGGAGGGTGGCGAGCGCTGATCCTCCAAGTGCGAGCATAGCAAGGTGGCAGGCACAGTCGTCACTACTGTACGTCCAAACCCATAGTGAATGATAAACAGAAAAAGAAAAATGGATGATGCTCGAATGCACCGAGATTTCTAAAGGCAGTCGTAGTCAACCTATATGCAAATAATGAAAGAAGAGAATGTACACGCGCGACGCGTACCTAACGCCGTTAGGAATTAGTCTAGCTTATTTTCTTTTCTTTCTCTTTTTTTCTTTTTTTCCGCCGAATCTTACGAGCAAATGATCATCGATGATTTCATTCTCTATCTCTGTTTTTGAGTGAATTTTTCTCTCGGTTTATCTGTCTATTCTTTTTCTCTCTCCGCCTCTCTTCCGTCGTTCTCGCGCGAACGAGGACGTCGAGGACCGATCTCGGAGAAATATCAAGACGTACGAGAGATCGCGAAATTTTCAGTCGAAATAATTTCAGCGGAATTAACAAATGTTTGTTGTTTTCAGTAAGTACTCCGCGCCAGAAAGAAGCATCATTAAGTTAGTAAAGCGGGAATCTTGGAGGTAGACGGACGAGAATAGAACTTGGGATTGGCCGGGTCTGGATAATTTCGGTGGGTTTCGATTTCCTCGGATATCGGATAAAGACAGACACAGGGCGTTGGTGTCGGGTTATTGGCACATTTTAGACAGGTGATAATAGACGCAGACAAGGGACAAGGAGAGACGGTCCTTTAGGGTTCTTCATCATGAACTGTACCGATTAGCAATACTTGCCGATCCGTCGATAGAAAAGAAAGCGAACATGTACACTTGTTGAGTTATTATCTCGTGTTCGTATCGTATGTATATATATATATATATATATATATATAATATGATAGAAAAAAGAACGATATAATAAAAAGAACGCAACAGAGTCGTTCACGCAAGAGGCGCGCAATAAGGTCAGCGTTCGTGTAAAATGCTAGGACGTTCACTATAAGACAAGTTCGACAGGATGGTACATAAAGTGCAAGCCTGGCAAACACAAACAACACAAGACCAGGTTCGTAAGTACACGACTCGTAACATACTATTATGTATATCAGTCATATGGCTAACGCATCTAAGGGACAAGAAGACAAGACATAACAGAAAAGGGAGACAACAATCTGACGACATATCACAGATAACACAGAGACAATTCGTACGGTTGACTTTAATGTATACGTGAAGAGTTTTGCTCATGGACAGACGCTCCCTGATGATGCGTACAAGCATATTATATATTTTCATAAGCGAGATAAAAGATAACTCGATAATGAAATTCTATATATCATAATAAAAAGAAAATGATATATCGATATTCAGAGTTTTTTTTCTTATTTCAAAATTATTCTAAATGTCTTAAGATATTGATACGGCCTTCTGATTGGTTTATAACGTCTTAAGACTGTAAAATGTCTTGAATATAAGAATCAATTATGAATAGCGATCAGAAATAGAACCTTCAGAATCAGAATAATGCTTATTTTCAAAGTATTTCTTTTTTTTTCCAGCATTAAACTTCGCCCTGGATCTAACGTGGATTTTACAAAACAAGAGAGAGTGTTCTACAAAGAGAATTTTGAAAAAGTAGGTTACCGAATATTTGTTGTAAATTCGATATCAATACAAGGAGGATTGTTTCTCGTTCGTATGTTTTTTCAAAGTCCATAGCGTTTTTATTTGCGAACATGTATTCGACTATTTTTATAAAAATGTAGACGGAAACCCGACGAGAGACGCGCGCACGCGGCGCTACCTCGAGCGGGATAAACCGTCACAAAAACCGTCAACGACTCATCTCCTGTACGTATCAACGCGAGCGTGGCCATGAGGCGCGAAAGTGAATAAAGATAGATAGGTCAGACAGGTAGATAGAGTGAAGAGAGAGAGAGAGAGAGAGAGAGAGAGAGAGAGAGAGAGAGAGAGAGAGAGAGTGGACGAAGTAAATAGGAGGTGGCGTTCGATGAAAGAGATGAGAGACAAATAAGCAAAGTGTGATCAAACATTAGCGAAACGCAAATATTCGTATAATGAGAAATGATAACAGGCTGTTATATGAGCGGCGTAAAAATAAAGAAGGCAGAAAAAGAGACAAAATGAAATGTTAGGAAAGTAATGACAGTGTAAAGGCAGGCTAAAGGTTCGATATATAAATACATAAGTGTTACATATTAATGGGTCATACGAAAGACATGTAAGATGAATGTACGAGCGAAACGAGCAATAGATGATACTTTGTTCTTTCTTTTTTTTTTTCTTTTGGATAATGAACGATTAGCGAGAGCTTGAGCTGCAACTTACCGCGGTGTAAAGGAACTCCAGAACGTACTACGTGTGGGAAAAACCAACGAGAAGAAAGGGCGTTACCACGGTCACAGAACCCGCGTTTGCGGGCAAAAAACGAAGGCGCGTGCGCAGCATTGCGCGAGCAATCGTTTCTCGAGCAATTGCCCCCGAAACGGCAATTTTTCTACTATTGCAAACGCGATCGCGTGCGACTTTGACCGCGCGCGTTAGAACTATCCGCCGCGATCTTTAGTCGCGTTCCGGACTTTTCCCGTCTTCGGCTCCGTTCCGGCACCGGCTGGACCGGCACGGAGACCCCGCGAGTGCTCCTCGCAATGTTCCGCACGCCATTACAGAAACAATAGACGTAGACACACACTAATCAAGCGTACCCATCACACACGCGATCCTTCCAGTCACGCAACATGAACGCAGTCACTCTCGGACTCATTCAACATAGAGTGGTATACAATGTGACAGACACAAGTTGGAAACTACGCAACGCATACACATATGTATATATAATGGTGTGTGTATATATATATATATATATATATATAGGGTCCGGAAAAATGAATGGTTGAATAACCGGTATGTTAATACACGGCGTCATTTCAACCGGGGATGGTGCCCCATGACGCCACCCTTGGCGCGGGCACCCTGATGGAGCAACTCGAGGGAAACTCTTATCAGTTCGGTGTAACCAGGGTCGAAAGGATCGCCTGGACCGACAACGAGAGGAGATTCCATCGGCGTCGATCTAGGGCCCGAGCTGAGGGACGATTCTCGAATATTGATTACGCTGTCCGAGCAACCTCAATGCTAGTCTGAATACTTGATTCACGAAGGAGCGTTTGTATCCGTGAACATTTTTCTCGTTTGGAGTGAACGGGCTTTAAAAATCATGTTAACGCAAATAACTTCTCGATAGAGAAAAATACGAGAATTCTGATAGTAAAAACGTCGAGGTATTCACGAAACTTACAAACTCTAAAGACGGATAATGAAAATGATGGGTATTTAATAATTATTTATTTAAACCAATGAATGTTGAAATATATCAATAAGCCTTAAATAGCATTATTAAATTTTCAGTAGTGATTTTGATGTTATTTAAGTTTAGTTATGATTTAGTTAAATTGAGAGATAATTAACAATATCATTTGTTCACATTGTTAAAACTTTTAAATGAGTGTTAGCCGCAGTATATTCGGAATTGTAATCAATATTCTAGCGATATTACGAGACGAATGGACAATGGACAAAAACAATATTCTAAATGTTCGACTTCTGGAACAGTCTTCGACGACAACATGGACCTTATTATACGCATCGTATAGAAAGTTTTCATGGAGCAAAAAGAAGGAGACGCTACGAGAAATTTCAAACTTGTGTCTACCATATCTAGAAATACTTTTACGAGTGGGCGAGTCATGGCGCTTGTGCTCTTTGACATCGATAGCTTTCTGCACAGACTTTCACAGATAATTGCAAATTCTCGTTAAGGGAGTTTTGATCTCTGCCCGTCTGACTCAACCATTCGTACGCTTTATCTATATGAACTCCTTTCTCGTAATCGCTTAACGAATGGCCAGATTATTGGTGTCGGAAAGCAATTTTGAAAATTGTATCTCTGTCTTTCCTTATACATGTTGTTAATTATATTGCGCGTAGGCCGAGTACTGTTATACTTTATGACGATAACGAACAGTGCCTAGAGTACATTAACGCGTGAGAAATGAATTAACTAATAATAAGGTAATAACAAAAGCAAGTTTCTAGCATATTCTCGTTATGCAGACTTTTGTCATTCAGTCCGAAGGCAGAACGGAGCCTTTTTTCTTCGGCTGTAGGGTGATTGGTAATCTGGTGATGGTAAAGGGCTACACACAGAGGATAAACACTAGACAAAATACACGATACCCCCGAAGTACCGTCACGGCTTCTTCCAGCCGCATATCGATAATCACTTCTTCAGTGCCGAACAAAGGAAGACAGAAACAATTTTTTATCTGATAAAAAATTCTTATATGTGCCTTCTTATTATGCCTTTTGAAAAATAAACTTTTTGGATTTTATACTTAGTTTATCTTTTTAACACTTTTTTGTTATACTTTTTTGCTTGAAGCATCATTTTAATTGATTTCACGTAAAATATAATATATTCATCAATTATTATATTGAAATATCTTGTGCCTTAATGATAAATGAAAAATTAATGATTTTTAATTAATGATTTAATGATAAATTTTTCTTAGACTAATAATAAATAATTTAAGACTCCTCCTCAGTAATGTATAAAAATAGAGATGAATTTAATTAATTGCAAATTTAAGATGTATTTATTTAGCATGACTGTTAATAATTTGAATTAAAAATATGTATTAAAAAAATTTTTGTATCATAAACGCAGAGATTAATTAATGAAAAATCTTTGATTGGCAATGATTCCGAAGTAATCATCGATACAAATGGCATTCGGAGGGGGGAAGGGGTGAAACACTAGGAAAGGATGGTTAGAGGGTTGCAGGGTGTCACCCACCGGGGGCTCATCTGATATTTCAGCTGTTACGGATGTGGATTCATGACGATTCGATAAAATTTTTGTAGCGTTCAATGGTCGCTCACGATGGGGGAAACATCATTAAATAATTAATCGCAGTATCTTCATTTAAGTAATATTTGCATATAACGTCCGCTCGTAAACCAATAGTTTCGACGTGTGACATGTTTAATTAATGAAATACTTTATATTGCGTTGCAAATTACATAAAGTAACGATATTGACTACGATGATTCCTGAATTTGTTACTATTTTAGCCCATCGATAATTTCCGCAACTAGATGCTGTTTATTATCAATTTATGCAGGGGAGGAATATGCAGATTCTCTTTCACAATATCAGATTTTGTGTATCTATTTCGTATAGCTTGTATTGTATCTATATTAAACGTATATTTCATAAACAAAATTTATATTACGCTTCCACAATAAATTAAAAACAAATTATACGTATTCAAAGCTGAAAATATATTTTAATTAACTTTGTCTCGTCCACGTGAAATTATTGGTGAGCATCTACACGCATATGCAAGATATATATACACACGCGCGTGCGCGCACACGCACACACACACACGCACGCACGCACGCACGCACGCACGCACGCACGCACGCACGCACACACACACACACACACACAATATTATGTGTGTGCGTGTGCGTGTGTGTGTGCGTGCGAGCGTGCGTGCGTGCGTGCGTGCATGCGTGCGTGCGTACGTGCGTGTGTGCGTGTGTGTGTGTGTGTGTGTGTGTGTGTGTGTGTGTGTGTGTGTGTGTATCCTACACAGAAAAGAAAAACATAATAAATAAATATGAATATGTACCCCATCGTAAACTGTTACCACAGATTGAAACGCGTAAGTTACATGATAATATTCATAACTCGATAACCGCGTGCAGCGTGACGCGATATATTGTATTTTCGCACATTAAATTTGTCAGTCCTGTAAACTGCAATTTTGACATTAATAACGCTTTTCAGGACGTTCATTGCATACGTCGAAGACAAATTTTCACGGTGTGCCGTACCAAAAGGAATGAAAGTGCTGAACCAAACACGATGATACGCGTATTTCTGGCTAACGATAAAACCGAGAAAAGTAATACGCGGTCGCATGAAAGTCGTAAAAAGGCCAAAACTATGACACGCAGCTATGCTATTTTATCTTCATTAAATGTCATGTGTGCAACGTTTACGATCGACCGAGTCGTTACCCGTGTTTATGTATATATACTCTAAAACATTTAATGCAAAAATAAAAAGAAGAGAAAACGTGTGTTGGAAGAATCTGTCAGAAATGTTATGAAGGAATGGCGATTCTCGGTCGTTCGAACACGTCACTCTCGCTTATCTTATGAAAATAAGAGACTAAGCGAACTCTAATTCGAATTTTAATCCGTCCGGATGGAAATGATCGATCTTACCTTTCCGTGTACTCGTCCATGTGGGCGTAGCTCTGTACGCTGTTCTCTTCGACGAGGAACTTTACTCGTTGATAGAAGGACGCTGTGACGCTGGGTGGTTGTTTTCGGAGAAGAACGTCCACGGGATTATTACTAGCAAGGCACATGATATGTTCTGAACAAGCTTCGTGCGAACAGCACTCACTGTCAGAGCAGTCCATCATGCCATCTGAGAAAGGCAATCTGTTAGATATCCACTCGAACATGTCTTGCACTCAATAAGATTCTATTTCTTAAATGATCTTTTAAGGATGTATTACACGTGTTTTTTAACAAAACAGATTTTTCTATATTGCATTTGTGTGTATGTGAAAATAATATAAAAGATTGATGATGATTTACGACATAGATCAAAAACTATTTAAATAAGTAGATGACATGTTTTAAAAAAATAATTAAGATAAAATGAGAACATTTTCAATTTAAACTATATAAAATTGTATTGTTAAATAAATATTGAATTTATTGATGTATTTCATACGTATATTAACATTCATTTTTATACGGAAAGTATAAATTTTTAATTTCAATTATTTATGCAGAGATTATACATACATGAGACATCCTTAAATAATCTTATTTCTCGCATTTTTATATTTTTATGATCTTAATAAAAGATTGGATAAGTGCAAGTAATAAAAATTGACATTTCGTTCACGCTGTTATAGTTTAATGTTACGTAGAATGCAATTAACATTTTCCTGTAGGGAATACTATCTCATAATCAGTAAATTTTCTTCCTCCGTTTATTGATTTTTCAAGAGTAATATTCATCAGATACAGATGGACAATAGTATGCCATTAATCAGTGTTGATTTAATACTAGGTTACTTGAGGACTTACCTTCGTCATTGTCAACGTAATCATTACATTCCAATTCGAGTCGTATGCTGCAATCTCTGCCGGCCCATCCGGTTGAACACTCGCAACTGTATTCGCCATCCTGTAGGGTACACAATCCGTGGCGGCTACATCCATTCTCACATCCGGCTATTAAAGAGAGAAAACCATTTCCAACATCGTTTTCAATAATTACAGTCGACTAATCGATTATTGAAAAATGATATTACGTCGTTTCGTATCGGAGAACTTATTATTGATAGCAAAATATATGCTCACACAACAAAGTAAAACATTGAATTTATTGATAATCTTCTGATATTGATAGTCTTCTATTTTTTACGTACGTAATGTGCAATGTCTTCCGTTCCACCCTTGACTGCATACGCAGGTTCCATTTTTGCACTGACCATGCTCGGCGCAACGCAAGTCACAAGGTTTTTGATCGCATTTCGTTCCAGTCCAGTCATCGTGGCATCTAAAAATATAAATATGCCTCGCACCTCACAGATCTTACATGTATTATGGACATCAATTAATTTCTATTCAATCGAAGTTACGAAATAAAAACAGTGAGAATATCCGCATAGAAAATATAATAATACAATTTTGTTACACATATATACCTATTACTCGCGTTTTAGTACATTAATTGTTTCGTACTTCGTATACGATACGAAAATGTTTCTAACAGGATTCGTTATGTTAAACGGCGGTATCGCCGAACGTAAAATAATTTCTCGTCGTTTATACCGGCTGCAATAAAAAATGCGAGTTTGAACTGAGTTTCGAAGTTGTTCTGCCGTAGTGAGGAACTTTTTGCACTTAGAGCCTCTTTTACGCCAACTCTTGGGGATGGAACGAGGGAAAAAGGGGAAAGGGAAGAGAGGGGGTGGTAGACGAGAGGCGTCAGCTTTAGAATATGAGAAAGGAGATCCTCTCTCGCGTCCTTGATTCTGACAAAGGAAAGTAGGAAGGGACGAGGACGGTCCTTCGAGTTGTGATAAGTTGGCGCCTCGTAAGACAGAGCCTTTTTCTCGCAATTTTTCACCTTTTTAGCCTCAACTTTTGTGCCTGCGATCCTGGCGAGCAATTTACTCATTTTTAGGCCATTCTTCGCCCACATCTATCCCACAATATTTCAATGTCCCGACAAAACGTTACTCTTTCTCTTTCCTTCTCGAGCGCGGATTACTATTAAATGTTTCACGACGTGCCTCCCTCGTGCATTCGTTGAAAACTTTACGACGTTTCTCACTCTTCGACGCGGTAATCTATTCCAGTCGTAAAAGTTGCAAAAAGTTTGCACGTCACACTCTATGAAGCACAGCTGGTAGAGAGAGAGAGAGAGCGCGTAAATGGCCGCCACGTCCGCACAATTCCGCAAATCTCCCGCATTAAACAATGATCTTACGCGAGGTGTGGGTGTCATATGGAAGAGAAACGAATCGAGGTCGCATGGAATTCCTTTAATCTGAGAAAAACGACCCTGGTCGTTGAGACACGCATCACTTTCCTCGTTCAATCCCGGAGAGAGCGACTGTTAGCCGACTGCGCCAATTCCGGGGTAACCCAATTCCGAAATCCCGGTCGCAACACGTCCACGGAAGGCTCATAAAGGACGATATATAAAGGATGAAGTACGTGTGTGCGTTATATGTGTATACTGACTTGCAGCGGCCTTGCTCGCAGGATCCATGAAGTCCGCAGTCTAGACCGCAACTCGGCTGCGAGCAATCAACCCCTGTCCAATGCTCCTCGCAAACGCAGGCCGCAGATTCGAGGTCGTACGTGCCGTGATCGGAGCAGCCCGGCAGACACTGGTATACCTGCTGATCAACCTGATTGCACCGCTCGCCCTGCCAACCGGCCTTGCAGTAACACTTGCCGGAGACACAAGCGCCGTGGCCGCTACAGTTCGGATCAGAGCAGTCAGCTGAAAATTGAGAAAGAAAAAACGAATCGAATGCGCGTTTAAATTAGAAATCATCGCGTTTTTACGGTTCGGCGCAACCTGCGGAACTTCTCGTTAAAGGCTAAACTTCCCGTTTGCGTGGTGAACGCATCCCCGGCGCACCCCGTCAGTTATCAGAGCCCATCCCCGTCTTCCCTCTCCCGTCACGCCCGGGCGCTGCTGATTGCGTCCATGGCGTGGACGAATGGACCAACTTTTTAAATTATGGCATCGGAACAATTGCATTATTCCCGCAGATCCCACCTGCCCCGGGGAAATTATGAAACTTAATTCCATAGCGTCCTTGGCGCAGCAGCGACGGCAGCGACGGTGCTGTCGCGGGCCGCGTCGTCATCTGCGCCCGCTATGCTGCGTTATATGTATTCGGGATACGAGAGATGAGAGGAATTCCTGGCGGATTCTTCTTGCATTATGTATGCGCGACATTGATCGAACGGGATCATAGATTTGTTCGCTTTCATTAGAACCTGACAGGTGCGTTCGCGCGCTATCGTGAAACGTAGAAACGCGAAACGCGGTAAATTGGGCGTTGAAGTATGATACCATTAAGTGCATTTAATGGTACATACAGAATGTTTCCTCGGAATGAGCTCTTTTCGGTAAAAATGTTGAGACATCAATTTCCAAGTCGTGAACGATAAGCGAAACGGTAGTTTTAGGGAATTGTTCATTCGGCAGAAATTTTATTTAAATAATAGATAATAAATAAAAGAGACACGACATAATTTATTCGTAAATAATAAACAAATTTTTGTTTGATGAATTTGATTAATAATTTATTCGATTCAACGATAATTTAAATAAATTCTTATCTAAATAATTATTCGAATATATATTCATTATCTACTATTTGTACGAAAAATATACAAATAATTCCATTATATTATTCCATTATATTATCGAATAATATAATAACTTAAACGAATAATAATTATTTATATATTATATTATTACGAGCAGTATCAATGAATGAAACTAACCATTTAATAAAAATAGTGCTATCGTAGGTGTTACACATAACTGGAAGCAATTTAGTAATTTTGACCAGCCTTCTTTTTCAACGGTAGGATTTACGACAGGTATAAACAGCTGT